TCAACAAGGTAATTTTGATCTTCGGGTTCATTTTACTTGATTCCCCCCCATTTTTTTGGACACGGTTTTCGATTTTGACATTTTATTTCTGTGGGGCAGCTTCTGGGGGAAATTTGATTTGATGTTTCAACTAGAAGTTTTACTTGATTGCTTGTTTTTTTTGGGGGGGGGGGGAGTTTGGGTCTTTTTCCTTGTAATCCAAAGCTCCCTTCTTCTCTCCCAAACTCACCATTTCTTCTCAGGTCAAGCTTTTACTTTCAGCTGTAAAGGAAAGGTTTTTTTTAATGATTTGAGATTGGATATCATGAGTGGTTGAATTGTTATTAAGAGTGTAATTTGTTTTGATTTTTTGATTTATTGTTCATTCTCTTTCATGGTTGTGGAACTCGTGTGTGGTGTGTGTGTGTTTTTTGAAGTGTTACTGTTATTAAATTTGTGTATTGCATAATTTAATTGCCTTCTGCTAGTTTATAGCTCTCACTATGTTTTGTGGATGGAACATTTTTTGTTATCATAAAATATATTTTTGAGATATTGCTTTTCCTTTTTGTTCATTTTGTTGCAACTTTCGTTGTTTAGCCTGAAGATGTATGTTAGGTCTCGCGGGATCCAAGTAGTCAAGTGTCTTTCTCAATGTTGTCAATCATGCCTATTGGTCCATTCTTAACCGTTTATTGTTCATAATCTTGTGTGTGTATAATATGTATATCTAAACATACACCAGCATATATACAAACACAGTTCAGATATGTTATGTGTCTTATTTTACTTATGGAAATGCTCTTTTTTGGCACTTTGTTCCTCAAGCAATCTAATGGTTCTAGCTCTTGGAGATCGAAGCACCTTTGAAAACAGAGTACTCTTTCTTGTACTTTTATTGATCAGGATAGGTTTTGTTTAGATTTTTGATCGTTTTCCTTTTCTGTCATTTATGCTTTAGGGTGTTTTAGTTTAGCAAGACATTGGGGAGGAAAGAATAGGAACAAAAACTGGGTAGGATTATGTGGTGTTTGATTTGGAATAAATATGATGAATTCTAGGGCATGTAAATTGTATGTTTTATTCTATCTTCCCTGTTATCTTGTAATCAAATGGATATGTGAATTGTTTATAGTCTACCTTTCTTCTTCAGATATATGAAGAACAAGTGAGAGCTTAGTTGGTTCCGTCATAATGGATTCTTCTTGCAACTGCATAGAGCCACAATGGCCCCCGGATGACCTGTTGATGAAATATCAATATATTTCCGACTTCTTCATTGCTCTTGCTTATTTTTCAATTCCTTTAGAGCTTATATATTTTGTCAAGAAATCTGCCGTTTTTCCATATAGATAGGTGCTTGTGCAGTTTGGTGCCTTTATTGTACTTTGCGGAGCAACACATCTCATTAACTTGTGGACTTTTACATTGCATACGAGAACTGTGGCAATGGTAATGACGACTGCAAAGGTTTTTACTGCCGTGGTATCATGTGTAACTGCCTTAATGCTGGTACATATTATTCCCGATTTATGGAGTGTTAAAACTAGAGAATTATTTCTGAAGAATAAGGCCGCTGAGCTTGATAGAGAAATGGGTCTGATTCGTACACAAGAGGAAACAGGTCGACATGTTAGAATGCTCACTCATGAGATCAGAAGCACTTTGGATAGACATACGATACTGAAAACCACATTAGTTGAATTGGGTCGAACTTTGGCACTAGAAGAATGTGCCCTGTGGATGCCAACCCGAACTGGGCTAGAGCTCCAACTTTCGTATACTCTTCATCAACAAAATCCGGTTGGGTACACTGTACCAATCCATCATCCTGTAATCAATCAAGTATTTAGTAGCTGTCACGCGGTGAAAATATCTCCGAATTGTCCAGTGGCGAGAATACGACCTGCTGGGAAGTACATGCCTGGGGAGGTGGTTGCAGTTCGTGTCCCGCTCCTGCATCTCTCTAACTTCCAAATTAACGACTGGCCGGAACTTTCAACAAAACGCTATGCTTTGATGGTTTTGATGCTGCCTTCAGATAGCGCAAGGCAATTGCATGTCCACGAGCTGGAGCTTGTTGAAGTAGTTGCTGATCAGGTATAATTTTCCTGTTTTGCTTCTAAACTATACATTTTCTGCAACCTCTTCTCATTTTGAAATTTTTATTACGCTAATCATTTATGGAATTTGGTTAGCCCTATCGTTTCCTGCTGTAAATAAGTATGCCACTCTTGGATTGCTGTTTATGTTCCGGATATCAGGTTGCTAAAAGCACTTAATCTGTGAATTTGTATGATGAACACAGGTGGCTGTTGCTCTTTCGCATGCTGCAATTTTAGAGGAGTCGATGAGGGCTTAGGGATCTTCTTATGGAGCAGAATGTTGCTCTTGATCTAGCCAGAAGAGAAGCAGAGACCGCAATCCGTGCTCGAAATGATTTTTTGGCTGTTATGAATCATGAGATGAGAACCCCAAGGCATGCAATTATCGCTCTCTTCTTTGTTGCAAGAAACTGAGTTAACACCCGAACAACGTCTGATGGTTGAAACCATTCTTAACAGTAGCAACCTTCTTTCTACTCTAATAAATGATGTATTGGATCTTTCGAGGCTGGAAGATGGCAGCCTTCAACTAGACCTTGGAACTTTTAACCTTTATGCTGTATTCACAGAGGTAGAATTTCGTTTTCAGCTTCAGGAAATTTTTATAACTGTTGCTCGGTGTTTTTCATTCTAGTTACATGCATTTTTTGTGCTCTAGGTTCTTAACTTGATCAAGCCCATTGCGTCTGTTAAAAAGCTTCATGTTTCATTAAACCTGACTTCTGACTTACCCGAATATGCCGTTGGCGATGAGAAGCGCCTGATGCAAACGATTCTATATGTTGTCGGTAATGCTGTGAAGTTTTCAAAGGATGGCAGCATTACGATCACGGCTTTTGTTGCAAAAGCAGAATTTCTGAGAGATTCTCGAATTCCTGAAATTTTCCCTGTGCCTAGCGATAATCACTTTTATTTGCGTGTACAGGTTAGTCCCGTTGGTGCCAGGTGTAATTTTTATCTTAGAGGTTGCTGATGTTTATGTTTTTTTGCTACTGAATACTGATGCAGGTGAAAGATTCAGGCATTGGGATTAGCCCCCAAGAAATTCCCAAGTTATTTACCAAATTTGCACGAACACAATCAACAGCAATACGGAATTCCGGTGGCAGTGGATTAGGCCTTGCAATTTGCAAGAGGTATACACTTTCCGAGTATTTAGCATCTTGGTTTCTGACCAACCCCTGTATTGGTGTTTCGGTTTTTTAGCTATCCACCTGAGGTTTTGCCTTTTTTAATTATGTGACCAGGTTTGTAAATCTAATGGAGGGACATATTTGGATCGAGAGTGAAGGTCTTGGTAAGGGATCTACTGCTATATTCATGGTAAAACTCGGCATCCCGGAGCGGCTAAATGAATCCAAACTTGCTTTCATGCCTAAAGTACCACCAAATCATGGTCCAACAGCTTTTCCTGGGCTTAAAGTTCTGGTTATGGATGAGAACGGGTCAGTTTCATTGTGTTCATGTCACTTCCTATTTATTTGATCAATATGTTTTTGACCATGTCTCATAGTGATCCGTAATAAGATATCTCCGATACTCGTTGCTTGTTCAGATACAAATTCTTTACATGTATGCATATGCTATTCATTAGTGGTACTTCTTTCTTCCTTGCCAAGTGAATATGAGCATTGAATTGTTATGTTGTAATGCAGGGTTAGCCGGAAGGTGACCAAGGGGCTTCTTGTGCATCTTGGCTTGTGATGTAACAATGGTAAGCTCAAGTGAGGAGTGTTTGTGTGTGGTTTCTAACGAGCACAAGGTTGTTTTCATGGACGTTTGTGCTCCCGATATGGATGGTTATGAAATCGCGATCCGCATACACGAGAAGTTTACAAAACGCCACTAGAGGCCGATAATAGTAGCTCTCACTGGATACACGGACAAGGTGACGAAAGAGAGCTGCATGAGGGTTGGTATGGATGGTGTTATATTGAAACCAGTTTCACTTGATAAAATGAGAAGTGTTCTATCGGATCTTCTGGAGCACCGAGTTCTTTTCGAGGCAATATAAGCAGAGACGAGAGTTTCGGGTGGCAGACCGATGACGGAAAATGGAGGCCATGGAAGAATTTCTTTTGGATGGCGTACATAGCAGACAAAAGCACAGAGCATTTGCAAGGAAAATAGAGAAGTGAGGGCAAAATAACATATTTTTTTTGTGGGGTTTCTTGTGCAACATGCAATGTAAAGGGGTTTCTCAATACTTTGTTTCAAGGAACAAAACTATAGTTTACAGATAATGCATAATTTTGTTTATTAATGTTATTTCAAATTCGATATATTACTAATTTTAAAGATTTAATTCGATCTTAAAAGTTGAAATTTTAAAGATGAAAAAATAAATTATAAAATAAATAGTAACTTGTAATCTTAACTACCCAACATAACAGGAGTTAAATATCCCCAACTTAATCTGATATTTTAAAAATGATTAAAAATATTTTTATATTTTATTGATATCTTTAAATTTAAAAAAATGGAATAATTATTTATACCTTATAAAAAATATATTTTTATAGGAAAAAGGATACAAGCTAACTGAAAAATCTTTATGTTATAACAGTAGTTATTCTTCCATTTTTAACGTTCTTCGCTGCAGTCTCTTCCAATTTTTATTTCTCTTTTTTGAATTTGATATATTTGCCAGTTTAATTAAATCACATCCACAAGGAAAAGAGAACCCATCTGCATTTTCACTGTTATTTCCATTTCTAGACATTTTCAATGGTTATCTATTATCAGGCACATCAATAATCTTATTTTTCTCTCTCTCTAAAGCTCTTAACTTTTTTGCTCTGTAGTGAGGAAGAAGAAATAAAGACAACAAATTTACCAAAATCCAATTACCATTTCCTCTGTTCATTGGGTTATATTTATTTATTTTTTCTTTGGGGGGTTTTGGGTTTTGATTCTATGGCTGCAGTTGCTGACAAGTCAGGTGAGGCAGCGCCAGTAGCCGCAGCTGCTAATGAAAAGAAGAACACTTTGGTGGTGGAAACAGCCAAAGCAGAATCAAAGGAATTCAATGTGCAGAATCTGGTTGATATGTTCACAGAGTCGAATCCTTTGGCCAAAGAGTTTTTCCCATCATCTTATTATAAGAATCAGACAAAAATGACAGTAAATTTAATCAGGTGCCTGTTGATAACAAATCAGCTGGAAATGTGAATTACTCCAACAGAAGGGTATTATTTTCTCAACTGAATTACATATTTGTTTAATTATATGTTCTGAACGATGTGTGTTTGCTAATTCTTAGTGTTATTTATTTTTTGGGAAAATGGTCATCTTTTCTGTGAGGGTTTTGCGGATTATTGATGGATATGATTTTGATTTCTTAGACAAATCAGGGTTCTAAATTTTGCTTCCTTTTGTAATCCGAATGGGTATACATTGGAAGTCCAATTCTTGTCTTTGTTTAATACAATTCTTCATTTTGAACTGGTTTCCAATTTGCCCCCGTTGGATTGATGTTGTTTGTGTTTTACTGTCATTTATAAGGTTAAGCTCAAATAGAGTCAGCTGCTCTGTTTTTGAACTATTTTTTGACTGTTTGATCTCTACTAATAAAGTTGACAGAATTAGCTAAAGGGTTAAGCTTAATATTGACATGTCATGGTGTTGCATTTGTTCTTTAATTTCCCTTGGTTACATCTGGTAAAATGGCTATAGTTGTGTTTTCCTGAGAAAAAATAACTCCAACCAAGGTAGGAGAAGGCTTAATGGTAAAGCTTTTCGAGCTCAGCGAGATGATAGTGTTAGGCAAACAGTATATGTTTCTGATATTGATCAGAATGTAAGTTTAAACAACGACACCATTTAGTGATCTCTTTTTCCGGGTTTCATTCTGATTTGGTGAAATCACTTTTGAAAATCATTTCTTTCAGGTTACTGAAGAGCAACTTGCTGGCTTGTTTAGCAATTGTGGACAAGTAAGTTAAAGTTCTTGCTTTAAAGTTTCTGTTATAAATCTGTTTGTTCCTCCAGGATGTGGCATCTTGCACAACTTCATTCCTTCTAGGGCTTTAAATGAACAGAGCTCGACGAACTACTAGTGAATTGTTTGTTTTTTAAGCTAAATAAATGTATATGAACAAAAAATATATGTTGGTTTATTAAATGAGAGTTTGAATAGAGGTGTGTTAGGTTTGTTTTTGTTTACAAACAAGCTCGTTTATTAGTTCATTTGTTATCTCGTTTGTTGGTTCGCTTATTGAAATTTGATCTTTTTCTATAAAACATAATAAATATTTATATTTATTTATTTTATGTACAATATAATTATTAATATTTATGTTTGATTATGTTATATCTAAAAAGTTAGAATTATGTTCATTTATGGTTTGTTTGTTTAATATTTATGAAAAGTTTTTTTTTATTGTCATGAACATAATCAATTATGTGTTCATGAACATATTTGTGAATATGTTCGTTTAACATGTTTGCGAACATTAAATAAACATTCCTATTTTCAAAATAAACAAACAAGAACACGCTTATGAAATCCTTAACGAACACGAATCGGACCTAAACAAGCTTAAAAATAAATAAACAACATGAACAAAGTTTGTTCGTTCTAACTCGGTTCATTTACAAACCTAATTGCTTCTCTCATACAACATGTGGGATGATTTACAATAATGTTCTAGCTTTATCATTTAGCTCCATATCTCTCGCTATGTTTTCCACTTTTGTATCTTATTAAGGCATGATTCTGCATTTCATATTTTGTTTGTTTGTTTAGAGCCTCATCAAAACCTCAAAAGAACTTATAAATTTGATTTCGAGGGTTGAGTATCTCCTATCTTCTTGGGGAAAAAAGAAAGGATGTTATGGCTTTGGTTGATACTGCTTGATAGGATTACTTTCTTTGATAGCTTATGGGGCAGATTTCCATATATATGACATTTTGAAGTGAGTTGGAAATTATTGTTGAAGGTTGTTGATTGCCGAGTTTGTGGTGATCCACATTCAGTTCTTCGGTTTGCGTCTGTGGAATTCGTGGATGAAGGTAAGCAGCTGCTATGGACAGGACATGAACTTTTGTTTTGTAAATCAATACCCATTTATTCACATGTTACATTTTATATGAACTTTGTTTTCACAGAGGTGCAAGGGCTGCTCTGAACCTCAATGGGATAATGCTAAGGTTTTATCCGGTTCGGGTCTTGCCATCAAAAAACGCGATCCTCCCTGTGAACCCCACATTTCTCCCTAGGGTATGGATGAGTGACTTTCTGGCTCTTAGCTATCTCAGTTTCGCATATAGCTTCACTTGCCAATGACATTTCAATGTTACTAAATAGCTATTGAAGTTTCTCTATAGTTTTCTTTTTTAGTCTTGCTGTTAATTATAATAACTGCAATAGCAGTCGGAAGATGAAAGGGAAATGTGCACCAGGACTGTTTATTGTACAAATATTGACAAGAAGGTAAACCCTGTGTTTGCTTACATTAATGTTTGAGTTCTGGACTTTTATCACTGCTGTAATTGGTTAGCCTATTTTTTTACTAGCATTTAAATTATTAGTGTAACGTTGTCAAACTAATCCTCTAGAATATTTTCACTTTGCTTGAAGGTTTCCCAAGCTGAAGTGAAGAATTTCTTTGAATCAGCCTGTGGTGAGGTTAGTATTGTATTAATACTATGCATGCCTCTTTTTCCGTCTGTTTTCGACTAGAAGACAAAGTAGAAAGTTTTTGAAGGTTGACATCGAATTTATTTTAATTCTCAGGTCACTCGGTTGAGGCTTTTAGGGGATAATGTGCATTCAACCCGTATTGCTTTTGTTGAGTTTGCCACGGTAAGTTCATATTTTCAGGACTAGAAAATGATCCGGGTTGAAATTATTTCGGATTATGTTTTTGTGATACTCTGAAACTATGTTTTTGGCTCTGGTTCTAACCAATATACCACAATACCTGTTATGTTGTCAAATTTATTTCTATAATGTCATCCACATCTCTTTGCAAACTATTTGTGCAAATCTAGCTGCTCTAATTAGTTCATAATTTTTTATTTGAGCCTCTCCTCTTTATCTCTAGAAACAGTCGCCAGTCATTGTGAAAAATCTTACCAAATATTGCTACCATTAGTGAGCCTCTGAGAAATTTACAATAAAAAGAGGAAATGTTCAGAAGAATGGCTTCTATCATAGTTTACTAAAATGTTGCAGAACATTTTCATAGATGTTATAGCAAAATGTTGCATGCATGCGCACCAATCATAACGATGCATATGTGCTTGCATGCATCTTTACTTGTATGATGCTGCGAAGCTGTACTTTTAGTACTTGTTTCCCAAGTAATAATTTCTCTGGCATAATGTTGTCTGATAACTTTTCCTTTACGGACAGGCTGAAAGTGCCATAATAGCTCTGAATTGTAGCGGGATGGTGCTAGGATCCCAGCCCATCAGGTGCGCGTCCCTGAACTTGTTGCTTTAAATTCAACGATTGTCATATAAAGTTAATGCTGTAATGCTTATATTCTCATCTTTCAGGGTAGGTCCTTCGAAAACACCGATGAGGCCACGAGTTACCCGTCCGACATTGCTTTAACCGATCAACCAAGTCGTTTAACTTCCATGGAAGGAGGAAGATGATTTCCCAATGGAAAGAAACATCGAAGGATTCAAATACTTCCCTTTCTTCTTCTTCGCAATTGTTTCGACAATGTTAATCTCATCAGGGTTACTTTGCTGCTAGTTTATGATTGTAATAAACATAGTCTTGCCAAATTAGGAATCAAATACACTTGTAATAATTAAAAAAAAATTATTAAAGAGGTGAAACAGGAGAGCTACACACTATATATACTGAGAATCTGCAGCAAAATACACGGCCAGAACTACAATGTAAATATAGGTTTGACGAATTAAAAGCAAGGGCGAGGACTTTGATTGCCGAAGGTACGACCAATAACATTTGAACACGAAGATTTCAAAGGTAATCCACCATTAGAGTTGTCAAATTTAATGTCAGTCATAACTATATTCTTGCATGGGAATTTCTTGCTGCACTCAAAAGAAACAGCAACATCAGAACTTGAAGTGCCCCGTATGTTCCTATATGTAACATCACTAATTTGAATATGAGATGCTGCCTGAAAAAAAAAAACAAAAACGAGATTAGAACATTCAAATTTTGATTAAAATGGTGAATTATAATTAGCAAAAAAGTTTATTAGAATTACCTCTTTACCGCATGTAGTATGAGGGCAATACGTCTGATCAATAATGATCGGGTTTCGAACTCTATCCATGACAATATCTTGAAACAAAAAGTTTGAAGCGATGGCTGGAATTGGAGATGCCCATGATTTAATTCTAACACCATTGTCCGTTTGACTAAAGGTACACCTTGTCACGGACACTCCATGAACATTCAATTCACCTCGGTACTTGCCAAGGCTTCCGATGCTGATACCATGTCCAGGACCGCAATGAACATTCGAAACATCGATGTTTGAGCTCCCGGAAAGGATGGCTACACAGTCGTCACCGGTGCTTATTCTAGTGTTTGAAATCCGAATTCCGGATGACCTCCCCATCTTGATTCCGTCAGTGTTGGGACTGTCAGCCGGGGCCAGTACTTCAACTTTTGTTATATTTACGTTCTGACATCCGTGAAGTGAGATGTGAGTTTGTTTACTATTGACTGATTTTACGAATTCAATCCTCGAGTTCGTCACCGAGTCAAATTTGAGATTCTGAAATTAGAACATATCAGAAAGATTAGATAAGATAACCATTTTTTGTCATGAAATAAACAAAATTATACTCACAATTGGAAGTGGCTTGCAGTTAACGTCCTTGGCACAATTATTGAAACGCCAAGCAGAAGGTCCTTGACCATCAAATGTTCCACCACCTTTCAATAACATAAGATTTACATTTCGAAAATTTATCCAATTTGAAACAGCAGAAGGTCCAGGTAAAGCCTTCAAAACTCCGGTCATCAGAAACATTATCGGACCTCTGCATGGACCGGAAAACACAACCGGTCCCAACACGTAAACTCCTTTGGGTACATACAATATTGAAGCTCCGTTCCCATTGCAGGCGTCGTTCCATGCACGAAGAAAACCCTAAATATTCCAACATAAACATTAATTCAGAGAAAACACACAAAAAAATCCAGCACTGGTACTGTATTAATACCTTTTGATTATCTGTTCGACCGTCCGGAACGACACCGTAGTTTCTAACGTTGACAGTTCTTGCACTTTGAGCTGATGCAGATGAGATAAACAGGAAAGTTGTGAACAAAATTGCAGCAAGCACAGTTTGGAGAGCCATTGCCTGGTAAATTCTTGCTTTCGTTTAGTTCAGGTGTTGTGATAATCAAAGGGTTCAACTTGATTATTTATAATGTGTTTTTCTGAATTGATTTTGCTTTTATGATCAATATCAGTGATTTATTTCAAAATTTAACATGAGAGGTGATTTTTTTCTATCTTAATTCACGTCGTTGAAATTAAAACTATTAATCAATTGTTAATAATATATTGTGTGTTAGATTTAGATCCCTTAATCATTTTATTATGATTGAAAACGTAGCTTTGATTTGATAATATTTCTCCTTGATTTCTTTTTTTCTAGTTTTCTTAGGCACCTACTTTTTCCAGTTACTACAGATATATTGCCTTGAATAAGCTTTTGTATTACCTGTACTTCCTTTTATGGCTTGATTTTTGCTTTCCAATTTCTGATTTTGATCTCACTGCTACACATTTCAACTCTTTGATTTTGTTTTTGGATTTTTCTTTCCAAAATTTTAGCTACCAAATAGTTATTTTCCAAAATATGAACATTTTTTTGGGTTTATGAGTTCTGATACGATTACGAAAATATAAAGATATTTCCAAATTTATCCATTTTTAATTCAATTAATTTATGATATTTAGCAAGTTTAAATTTTGAAGTTAGATATAGTTAATCTTTTACGTTATTTTTAGATTGAATTTTATATTATGTATCTACAACTAAACATTTAGTAATAATTAATTTGTATTTTAACGTGAATCTTCATTTGTCACTAAAAAGATGTTTTTAGGTTTTTTAAATTTGTTTAACTAGAATCGAACGAGAGATTTTAGTAACAAAGGAGGATGTTGTACTCCCTATAAAAATATGAGTTCGTGCCGTTGCATCTAGAGTTATAAGTATTGTCAATGATTAAGAAATATTGAGAACATATACTACCTTATATTCATCCCAAACTATATTTTTTTATAATTGTATATTGATATTTTTCAAATTTAGTAATATAAGTAAATTTTAAATTAATATAATGATAAAAAAAACAAAAATGTCTAACTTCATTCTCAAAAATTTTGTGGTACTCATACTTAGATAAATAGCATATCAAAACTAAACAGAATATTTTTCGTATTTTCTATGTATCTTATAATTTTTTTTTACATTTCTACCAATTACTTTCCCATTTTATATGTCAGGACCGTCTTTCGGTTGGGCCCGGAATTGGGCTTCGACGTGGATAATTGAATTGGTTGGGTTAGAGTCGCCACCGACTGTTTTAAAATAAATTTAGGTGGGTCGGACACCATCTTATCTGATCTGCGTTGTACCAGAAACGTGTCGGGTTCGGGAGTCGGTTACGGTCAAGGAAGGATTAGCACCCTTGACCATCCCTTTCGGTACCAATTAATTTGTCGGTTGTCTTAGTCGCGAAAATTAAAAATTTAAAAACCTGATTCGAATTGCTTACCTTTGATTGGTTCGATTTACTACTGGAAAATCAAAAATGTTAGATGGTAAATAAATAAATAAATATCGAGTAAAATTAATTAAGTAAAAAAATGAAAAGGATATTAAATTTTAAAAGGGAAAATTGTTGAAAAACATACAAAATAAAAGGAGAAAATACCAAAATAAAAAAAATATATAAAATAATGGAAATGACAATACCTATACAAAATATGGAAAAAAAAAGGTTAAGTTGTGAAAAAAATGTTAGGAAAATAAAATAAGGAAAAAAAACTAAAAAAATAAATAGATAAAGAATGAATTGAATTGGACTTTGTAGACCGAAATTGATACTAAAGATCAATATGCAAAAAAAAATTTGAGGGTTAATTTGCAAAGCATAAATAGTAACTAAATTGAATGAATTGAGAATCTGGAGGTGAAATTACAAACGATGATCAGATTGTAATGCGACTCAAAACACCAGGGACTACGGAGAGAATTTAAGAATTTTCTATTTACAAACCAATCCTTGTTATATAAATACACCTTCAAACCCCAAAATTATCATTTAACACCAAAACACAAAAAAAACCCAAAAAAACCTAAACACTCTCCCCTCTCTCCTAAGCCAGCCATAGCCCGACCACCGACCGGTGACCTCTCTCCACCGCACCGCCGCCGCTCCGACCGCCGCTGGCGGCCGGGCAAACCCAAAACACCCCGAGACATTCACCTTCCCCCGAGATTCTAAATCTGAACCCCAAAACATTAAACTCGAACCATCCCAGCGTAGATCTAGGCAAACAAGTCTCGGCCTTTTACCTTTTTTCTGCAAAAAACCGTTCGTTTCCCGGCGAGCCCTCTCAGTTCCGACGGGCACCACGATCAAAGCCTTTCCTCTTGTGCGAATGGTTTGCTTTGTATTTGTTTTTTTTTTGGTGATATGTGTAGTTTTGGCTTGTGTGGGTTTTTTGTGGGTTGTGCTTGGCTTTGGTTCGGTGTTCTCACCGATTTGTTGTATTTGGTTGTTCTACTTGATGGTGCTCTCGATGATGATGGGTGTTGTCTGTGTACTGTGTGTTGTTTTTGTGGTTCGTATGATCGATGATGGTACCCCTATGAGTTGCTTGATGATGTATTTATACAGCCCCGTCGGGGACTATTTCCGATGATATGGGGGTTGTGAACGTTGTGGTCGATCATCCTGGGATTTCCGGCCGACCGTTTCGCTTGACTCTATTGGTCGTTTGGGGGTTAGACAAACCCTAGTTGCCTTGCAATCCTGGTCATTGATCCTCATCTGATCTAACGGTTTCGTATTGAGCGACGATGGTCCCAAGCTTGAAAACCCTAACTGTTTGGGCTGGTTTAGGCCCGATTTTCTTGAACTGATTGGACAATAACTCTGGACCTGAAACGAGAAATAAAAAATAATAAATAATAAATGAAATAAAGAAAAATAAATAAAGAAATAAAGAAAAATATTTTTTTAAACTATATAATATATATGTTTTTGGGCAGCCTACTATCCTACCTCCCCCTTACCACATTGCATATGGGAATTGGGTTTTGTTGTTGTTGTAATATATATGTTTTTAAAGAAAATAATTTTCAAAACCATATAATATATATTTTTAAAAAAATAACTTTCAAAACCACATAATATATAGTTTTGAAAAAAATAATTTTCAAAATTATATAATATATAATTTTTAAAAACTAATTTTCAAAACTATATAATATATATTTTTTTAAAACTAATTTTCAAAACTATATAATATATATATTTAAAAAAACTAATTTTCAAAACTATATAATATATATATTTCAAAAAAATTGTTTTAAAAACTATATAATGTATATGTTTTCAAAAATGTTTTTTTTAAAGACTATATATTATATATGTATTTTCAAACACCATTTGCAAACTGTAATGTATATATATATATATATATATATATATATATATATATATAAAATAAAATGGACGAAAATGAGTGTCTACATTATAAATAAAAGAATTTCAATAATTTCATAATTTAATAAAAATATTATTTAATATATAAATATATTTTTTAAAATTATAGTACTAAGATTTTTGATTTGACAAATGATGTATTTTTTTATTAAGTTAAAGGTGATTATAAAATAGTATTTGTTATAAATACTCTCAATCATTTGATAATAAATATTCAATCACTCTTGATGTCGCTGGTGTTTGAACCCATGAGTTCTAAGAACTTCAACGATTTCTTTAACTACTTAAATAAATTGGTTCGTGCGACACATTACACATTTTAATGTATATTACATGTTTAGTAATTTTTCTAAAAACCAGTTAAAGAATTAAAATAAAAAAATTGTATTTTAAAAATAAATTAATGCATTAAATTAAAATTACATTAGACTATATAACGATTTTGACTGTACTATCGATATTTTATTTTCACAGAAATCATTTCTAAGGGGCCAACTAAAAGCAGGGGCGAGTATGTTGTTTTCCGAAGAAACGACAGTTGACAAATGAGCAAACAGATTTCGAAGGTCCACGAGGTCCGAAATGACCCAAAACGACGTCGGTCATCACGATGTTTTGGCACGGGAATCGTTTGCTGCAATCCATGGAAACAGCAACCAGAGAACGTGAAGTGCCCACATGTTCCTATATGTAACATCTCGGATTTGAACAGGAGAAGCCGTCTGAAGAAAAAAAATGTCGAATTTCATTCAATCTCGATGAAAATAGTAAATTAGAATGAACACATATAAAAATCATTACAATTACCTGTTGATTGCATGAAGAAAGAGGGCAATATGTCTGGTCGATAATGATCGGGTTCCGAACTCTATCCATGAAAATATCTTGAAATAATAAATTTGAAACAATAACTTGAATCGGAGATTCCCATGTTTTGATTCTAACACCGTTGTCCGTTTTACGGAAAATGCACTTTCTTACAGAGACACCATGGACGTTCTTTTCACCTTGGTACTTGCCTAGGCTTCCTATGCTTATACCATGTCCGGGGCCACAATGAACATTGGAGACATCAATTTTCGAGCTCCCTGAGAGGATGGCAACACATTCATCGCCGGTGCTTATTTTGGAGTGTAAAATTCGGATGTGTGTCGAGCTGCCGATCTTGATACCGTCAGTGTTGGGACTGTCATCTGGGGCGAGTATTTGTACATTGGACACGTTTACGTTATTGCATCCGAAGAATCCGATATGAGTTGCTTGCAGCTAGGGTTGGTTTGGCAGTCATTCAAAAACCAAGCAGAAGGTCCTTGGCCATCCAATGTGCCACCACCTTTCATCGCCAAATTATTTACGTACTGAAACCCAATCCAGTTTTCAGCATCCGATGAAGCTCCCATTGGAGCCTTTAAATGCCCATTCATCGAGAATATTATGGGACTTTTGCATGGACCGGAGAATTCAACTGCTCCCAACATGTAAACTCCTTTAGGTACATACACTATTGAAACTCCATTTCGATTGCAGGCGTCTGTCCATGCTCGAATAAAAGCCTAAACACCAACATGCATGCACATAAATTAATAGAGAGAAATAACAAAATAATACATGAAAATGTCTATTGCAAATACCTTTCGATTGTCTGTTCGGCCATCCGCGACGGCACCGTAATCCCTAACGTTGAAAGTTCTTACACTTTGAACTTCGGAGAGGGAAACGAAGAAGAAAACTGAAAAGAAAAGCATAGCAAAATCGATTTGGAGAGCCATTTCTTCCGTGAATGATGAGAACATTCAATCCAGAAGATGTTATATTTATATTGATTTTGATGTTTGCACAATTTTACTGATTTCTTTCTAACTTTCAAATGGAAGTTACGATTCTGAGAGAGCTCATTCATGGTAACTACTTAATTTTCTTTGATTTTATGAAATTAAAACCTTTAATCATGGTTAATTTTCTTTGTTCATCAGGCAATGGATCTTTGATATCAGTAATTAATGAGTTGATTCAAATATTTATATTAATCAAGGTTTTACTAAATCCATTTTTCGTCGGTTACCTTGATGTGTAGCTGGAATGACTTCACTTAATGAATACCCTTTAAGTATTGTTCTAATATTTAATCTAGCAGTCGCAATGATATAAGGAAATATTGTTCTAATTAGAGAGTATGAATTCCAATAGTTGTATTTGTAGAGTGTGTACATTATTGATAACCAAGAAAAAATTTAAACAAATACTATATTTTTTGGGTATAAATTATTGGTATTCGATCTACTGATTGACTAATCCGGATCAGATACTGTAAAGGCGATGACGACACTCCCAACCTAATTTACTCTATTCGTAAACGTCAGGATTCAAATCTCTGACCTTGTTTAAGATATCTAATGTCTCCTCCTAGTAAACCAACCGGTCGTTGGTAAACAAATACTTCTTTTTAATCTTATTAAAAAAATATTGTACTAATGTCAATTTGATTAGAAATTTTTAAAGATATAAATTCCAATAGACTTAAACTATCATCTTCGAATTAAGATAATTTATTGGACGATTTTAGGTTAATGGTAGGTTCACCACACTAATAATATATTATTATAAATATTATATCAATTAAAAAATTAATCTAATTTTATAAAACGAACGAATATATTCTGGTTGAATATATATATTCACTTGTATTGAGGCCATACTCTAAAATGATTTAAATTAAAGATAATTTAATTTAATTTAAATGATCAAACAAATAATCCGGCCTCTCCCAGAAGAAAAAGAATACTTGGTGAATTATTTAGAAGATTTTGTTCTTTGAAAGAGAAGTAAAAGGAAGATTGATGGGAATGTCTCGAAAACGGCAGGTTAATATAAAGCTAATATACGACGTTACCGGATATATTAAAAGATATTTAATAAATTCGGTTTAGCGCTACCGGAAATGTTGACTAATAATAATGTAGTAGGTCTAAGTCATGAAGAAATATTAAAAAATTGTGCAACCGACAAACTTAACTTGTCGGTTCGTGTCGATCCAAATTAAAAATGTATCGATCCACAACGATATAACATATAAAACTATGACAAAACCAGTATTGAAATGATAAAACCGGTAAAGTGGTACTGAATATATTTAAAGTGTCGGTACTTTAATATAAGGATCGACACTTCGTTAATTTAAAAGAGAAGCAGTTTTAGCGCCTATAAAGTGTCGATACTTTCAAAAAATATATCGATCAACAACGATATAACATGTAAAAATATGATAAAAATGATATCAAAATGATGAAACCGGTAAAACGCTACCGGATATATTGAAAGTGTCGAAACTTTATATAACGATCGACACTTTGTGAATTTAAAAGAGAAGCAGTTTTAGCGCCTATAAAGTGTCGATATTTTAAAAAATGTATCGATCAAACAAAGATATAACATGTAAAAATATGATAAAACCGGTATCAAAATGATAAAACCGGTAAAATGATACCGGATATATTAAAAGTGTCGATACTTTCGTAAGTACGTGTAATAAATTATCGATACTTTCAAAGAAATACGTAATTATCCTTTCGAAAGTATCGACACCTGACATAAAAGTATCGACACTTTTGTATTTGTATCGATTAAATATAAATAACATATCCGATGAAAATATAAAGGTCATAGCTAAATATCCTCTGAAAATAGATAGAACGGACGAGTTTTTGAAATCGAAGCGTAATTGTTGCTGCATTTCAGAAGGCGTTTCTAAAGCGAAGTTTGTTTGTTTGTTGCTGCAGTCGAATCGAAAAGTATGTTGTCGAAACCCTAATTTTTTATTATTACAGTAATCGCGATAGGGTTTTTATGTGTTGTTTGGGGTTTTGGAGTAAAGAAGCATTTGGGACCGATTGCAGGTAGAAAGTGATATTCAAGGAAAAATATAAATGTCGATACTTTTATTAAATATTATAGGTAGAAAATGATATTATAGGTTGTATAAATGTGCCGACACATTTTATAGTAGCCATTCAAATTCTTTTGAAGAAAAACGTTTTACCACAAGAGTAGTTATCTATATTTGTATATTGAATAAAGTGTATGTAACAAAATAATTTGATTTGCGTAAACTGATATATAAAGGCCAGGAAAAATGGAGTTAATGGGTTGGAAAATTGTTGGTGGCGCATATGACTTTGAAATTGAGGCTGAGACTCGAAAGCAACCAAAGGGTGGATATATGCACTTCTAGTAAGTATCAATGTCTTTTTGTTATTATTGTTGAAATGGTAATTGGATTAAAGTATCGATAAACTTTAAATTGATTACAAATTTTAAATGTTGACAGTATGGCCGAATGTAAAAGGATGAAGGAAGATGACACACAGAGCGGTTCAGTATGTAAAATGAAATTGACATTGAGTATTATTTAGTGTTAATGTATTGATTAAGAAACGTTTATGTTTAATATTAGGTGACAAAAGATGTGAGGTCTAAATGGAATTCGATGAGTGATGCTGAAAAGGAACCTTACATCACATAGTCAAGGAATAATAGTAAAGAATGCAAAAAACGGAGGAAAGCACATGAAAATAAGGTATTCATTAAACTTGTAAATACGTTGATACAAAATATATAAGAACTATAACATTATATATTGTTAAAAAATGTAGGAAGTGTCGACAAGGTGCAACATTAAAAGAGTGAATTCATTAATTAAACACCTTAAGGAGAATGGTCAGTTGAATGTGCTGGGAGAAATAGGTTTTAGATCGTTGGTAGGAGTAAGGGATCGACCTATTCGGAGGGAATTGTGTCGATCCTTGATGGCGCAATTTGATGTCAGATAATGTATTGCTAAGTATGGTGATTTTTCATTTCCTCTTGGGATCCCATGTGCTGCAGCCGTATTGGGGGTAGAAAATGAAGGAAAAAGTGTTGTAGAAGTCTGTAAGAGTAAGGACTGGAAAGCACTTGCCTCCAAATATGGTTTGAAGCAGAATGTGACATATGCTGAAATTGAAGAGGAAATAAAAAGTGGTTCTTACGGGGGGATGAGCTGAAGGCCAGAGTTCTATTATACCTTGTCGGTATCTTTCTTTATCCAACGGGTGATACGTCAACGAACAATGAATATATGAAGCTCATTTGCGATGAAGGCTTGAAGGGTGAATTCAATTGGGCTGAATATATGAAGCTCATTACTTGTGACGTGCCAACACCGACCTCTTTCAATGTTGTTGCCTCATCGATATCAACCTTACTTACAGCTCTATTAGAACGCATAAATGGTGTCATAGCAGGTGTGCACAATGCATGATTATGTTTCTGATCAGACTTACTTATAACCCACTGATCATTTGTATTTGTTGCTGTAACTAAGACTCTAGCCTTACATCATGTTCTTGTGACTGGCGTATGAGCACGTTGACGATCAACAGTATTGACTTTTGATCCTCGAAACCCTTCTTTGGAACAACAAAATTCTTGTGTCTTCACATTCCCTTCCACGTCAAGCCGTGTTGTTCCCTTACATGCACTAAACCCATGTTCCCGTGCGAATCCCTTGTAAAAGTACCAAGCTTGATCACGTGAACAGAAGAGCTGACAAACCAATCTGTCAGATTCATCAACATTATGTACTTCATGGCATTCCTCGGTTGGCTTAACATTGTCTACATCAGTATGATCCATGGCAAAAATTTTGTTGTGCAAGTTTAGTGGTCCCGGAGTTGATGGAGATGTAAGCAAAAGTTCATTTTGAACATGTTTCAGTCGTGCTGCTTTCAATAAGATGTGGTATTGGCAATGGTAGTTAAAGGGTGGGTACAACATTAAATTCACAATACATATTTAGGTATGTACAATCACTACCTAAATATGTGTCAATACATTTTCTACCTAAACACATTGTTAAATTTAAATTCTAAATAATGTTTTATAAAATATCAAAACAATCAAATAATTCTTTGTGTAAATGAAATTATTAAATTAATATTGTTGGTGTAAAACATGAAACACTATTAAAAAAAATTGAAACATAAATTACATAACTTTAAAAAAAAGTATAGATCTTTTTTATAAAAAATATAGAAACTTTCAACATATCAGGTAAATTTTATCTTTTTTAAAAGAGAATAAGTTATATCATCAATAAAGTGTCGATACTTTATAAAAATGTATCGATCCATAACAATATAACATGTAAAAATATGACAAAACCGGTCTCGAAATGACAAAACAGGTAAAGCGCTACCGGTTATGTTGAAAGTGTCGATAATTTATTATAAGTATCGACACTTTTGAAATTTAAAAGAGAAGAAGTTATAGCGCCAATAAAGTGTCGATACTTTATAAAATGTATCGATCCATAATAATATAACAGGTAATAATATGACAAAACCGGTCTCGAAATGACAAAACAGGTAAAGCGCTACTGGTTATGTTGAAAGTGTCGATAATTTATTATAAGTATCGACACTTTTGGAATTTAAAAGAGAAGAAGTTATAGCGTCAATAAAGTGTCGATACTTTATAAAAATGTATCGATCCATAACAATATAACATGTAAAAATATGACAAAACCGGTCTCGAAATGACAAAACAGGTAAAGCGCTACCGGATATGTTGAAAGTGTCGATAATTTATTATAAGTATCGACACTTTTGGAATTAATAAGAAAAGAAGTTATAGCGCCAATAAAGTGTCGATACTTTATAAAAATGTATCGATCCATAATAATATAATATGTAAAAATATGATAAAACCGGTCTATAAATGACAAAAGGTGAAC